TTTTAATTTGGCATGTCTTGAGGCTGTTTAATCGCCAGGGGCCAGTGTTGTCCCTTCCCCCACGATGACTGAACACCATGGTGGGTGTTGTCCCATTATGGGGCGCCCCGTGTTGGTTGATTTAGGGACCCAAAAGGAACCAACCAAGTGGGGAGTTGCCCCATTTTGAGACGAGCCCGCCAAAGTGTTGCATTCCTCTTAGTGAGACACACAGGGGCGTGAAGCAGCACTTTTTCTGGTCACTATGTTGAGTTACTGCAGTCCTGCCCCAGTTTTCTCTGAGCACGGCACGGGGAAGCCTGTGGCGTTTCTTAAGGTGAGCCATCCTGCGGTGCAATTATGGCTTGGGTCAATGGACCTCGATGCCGCCGATGTGCGGAGCTCAGAGATTGGGGTGTAGGGATCCCTCTGATCGTTTCTTATTCCTTTACGTCTGGGGAAAACACCCAGCTGTTCTCTCTTTTTTTTTTGCCGGCCTTGCCAATCCAGGGCCCTTGTCTCTTGTAACATTTGGATGCAGCAGGTTTTCCTCCGTGGGCATGAAGCTGTGCTTTGAATATTGCCGACCAAAAGAAATTGCAAAGGGATGGGAGTTTCATGTAATTTGGTCCCTTTACCCAGTCACTGGTTTCGTGTGAGATTCTAGTCAGTCGCTGGCCGCCCTTCTCTTTCGAAGCACTCCGAAGAGCTTGTTGTTTCTGTCCAACACCGGTGCATCAATCCCCTTGGTGAGGCCTTATCAATGGGTTGGTTCGGGGGAGCAGCCCTTGAAGGCCTTAGGATCATTTAGCCTGAAGCAGACACATTGAAGAAAACTGACATTACACAGATGAGCCCAAGCTATAGTCGATTGAGCTCCTCGAGTCGGACTTTGAGTGGCAAGTGTAAAGCATCGGACGAAGAAGTCCGATGCCCCGCTGTGCGGAACACGTGGTTGTTGAGAGGTGAAGCAACGCCGGGGGAAACGACGGGGAGTAGACGGATGCCAAGCTGACAGACTGTGAGTTACCAGGGTGTGATTCGAAGATATTCGAAGTCATAGGATTATTTTCGATTTGCTCATGTTTAACTATATTTGTTTGTTGGCGCTAAAGGGAATCTATCAGTACTGGACGTTTTCCAGGGTCCGGCAAATGGATGTTTTTGGGCGACAGAACACATAGGCAGATGGGCTGTACGAGTTGATTCACGACTTGGATGCTGATGGCGACCTCACGATGGACGAGCTAATCAGGCCATCGTGCACCCGCATGACGCATGCAAAAAATCCTTCCCAGATGAAGCCTCAAGAGTCCCCTCACCACATTGCTATGCAATTCGCCGTCGAAGGATTTTTGCACCATATATTCGCACCATGTAATCCCAAAAGCTTTGTCCCCAAAAGGACTGGCGTTCCCTAAAAACGGATGTTTGTGGGTTCCGTGTCAACCTGGAGTTTTTGTGAACCGGTTGCAGCCGCCGGTCTTCGCCGCGTTTTTCAGCGCCCTTCGCGCCTGGAAAAACGCGCCTCACGGCGCGCGCGCCAGGGGCGTGGCGCGGCTAAAGGGCACCGCGCGGAGCTATGACCTCCAGATGTTGCTGCGCCAGGCGGCTGGGGGGGCCATGTCAGTGGGTGCCACTTCCCGTTTTGTTGTTTTCCTTTGTTTTTTTCCTTTCTGTTTTTTCTTTTAATTATTTTTACTTGTTTTTTTTTTTGGGGGGGGGGCGTTTCTTAGGCTGAGATCGGGGAGTGTCTTTTTGTGCACCCCAAGGTTTTTGGTTGGGTTTTCTTGTAAGGCTGAGATATGGGTGGCTCGTTTCCTTTTGGTTTCCCGTTAGACACGACAAATAAGGGGTTCCCTCAAAACATGGGCACATGCATGCAAACCTGAAAAGAACCAAAGTACAAGCAGAAGTCACTGGGCGCAAGCTCTCTGAAAGCCAAAACCAAGCTCTGAATGCACATGTTTAAGGAGGGTCTCCGAAAATGATAGAAGCAGAACCAGCAAGCCCTAATTTATTTCCAGTGTACAATTTCCTGTGTACCTACCCCTAGATTGCGCCACGGCAAAAGCCAAAGGGGTCAATACTGAGATTGTTTGAGATACCTTTTGGTCTGGAACCCACCAGAGGGTCCCTTTTAGAGGAAAACGAGCTTCCATTTGGATGGGAGGCTACTCCCATTCTCGCCTTTGAAAGCTACACGAAACGGCCAAGTGTTTTGGTCTTGGCCCAAAAGCCATTGGTCATTCCGAGTGCGGCATATGTTAGAGTTTCCCAAGCAAGGAGAGAAATACACTATTGACGGATATCCTAGAGTGATAGCTGGCAAAGAGAAGGACAGCATAATATATTTACTTTGGTGCATTTTGCTTGGATGTTAGGACTTTAACTTTTTGCCAACTAATGGTGTTTCCATAAAACCGCTTAAAAGTTAAGCTTTTAGCAGGGGAGCAGAAAGCAACCGAGTATATATATATATACTATGTGTGTTTGTTTCCCCCGATTTTGAAGTCTGTCATATTTATTTCTGACATGTGTTTGTTCTTTGGCTTCTTACATCCTTTCCTGTAGTAAGAAACTAGTTCTTTAACACTATTTTTATCTCTGAAATGTGTTCGACGTTAGGATTATGTCCTTCACTCTTTCTTATATTTGGCTTTCTTAGCATATATTGCCACTCTGTCCATCATATCATCATTAATCAGGTTGTTTCTTATGTTCATTTGTTTAGTCTTTATTCTGCTTAGTGAGGATGTCATAAGGATAGATTCTGAAACGGAGATCAGAGAAGGTAGACAATAACTGTCAATTAAGTCGTTCTCTTTACACCTGTGCCTTTCGTAAGAACTAGTTATTGAGTTTCATGTTATGTCTTAATATGTTTGTCTCCCTCTCTCTCTCTCTCGCTCTTATATTTGGCTGTATTAGCGTATGTTACTCATTTATCCACCATATCTATTCTCAACAAGCATTGTATGTCTCATGTTCATTTGTTGAATCTTTATTCTGTTTCGTGAGGATGTCATGAGAGTAGATTATGAAACAGAGATAGGGAAAGGTACACAATTCTCTCTCTCTCTCTCTCTCTCCCTTCTATCCATAAATGTCCTAGCAAGTAAATACAAGATTCCCAAAGTAATCTCTGATGTCAAGATCTCAAGGGGAGGGATTATTTGTTTATCTCATATGTGTACTTCTTTATATATATATATATTACTTTAGGACTCATTTACTGTGTATTTATTTTTCGTGTTGCTTATAGGGGTGGCAGTTGCGACCTTTTGGTGGTTCATCGCAGTATCCGCAAGGTTTCAGTTTCATCCATTCCAACCGGCGCAGGATTTCGAGCATCCAGAGTATGACACATGCTTCACCCTCATGGCCTTTGGCTGGTTGATTGGGCGTTCTTGTTTCAGCCTGTTTGAAGCCAAGCATTGCCCTCAGGGAGAGAGTTGCTCAATGGCCTCCATCCGAATTGATGGCTTTCCCGATGCTTTGGATTCATGCCAACGGTATTATCCTTCGGGGCCTGTGCTGGAAGCCTAGGACTTAGGTGAGCACAGGTACCAGTACCTGGTGGCTTTTAGAAGTTAGCATTTGGAGGGGCAGGTGCATCCAGAGGTTTTTGGCTCCGTGCAAAGTTGGACTAAGCACCCCAAGCACATGCTCCTTCTTTTCGAGCTTCGGCCTCACATGATTTCTTTCCAGCCTCTGGCTCAAGAGGTCCATTGGGGATTTCTCCGCATCTCCGCTTTTGGCATCAGGTGCTGGCCCTGACGAACGCGGTGGACTCTTTGAGCCGAAGGGTGGACAAGGACAATCCCTCGGGTGCCCGAGGGAGCATCGTGCCTGAAGAGGCGCCGGCGCCGGAGGTTTGGGGTGGAGGGGTTGTGGGGTGTTCGGGGCGGGGGGTTGTTTGGAGGTGAGGTGTTGGTACTAAGGGAGGGGCGGGTATTCCAACTTCCATCAAAAACTGCTGGGGGTTTCAGACATGTCAGATTCCCAAACTTCAATCTCCAAGTGGGGCATTCGCAGGTATTCATACTTTGCCGAAGGCCATCGCTCCCAAAGAAGCACTGCTAGTGCAGCCTGAATTCTTGGGCCGGTCAGCGCCCGTTGTTTTGTCAGAACAAAACCAACAAAGCAAACTATAGCCACTGGATGGAACACGTCCAACCAGATCATGAAACAGGCTGACCTTGCGCCAGGATGGCAGCAGTGAAGTGGGGGGTGAGGCAACTGCCTCAGTGCTAATGACCGGTTCCGCTTGGCGGCGATGAGCCTTACAGGCTGTGCACTGTCATGCTGATGCGTGAAGTCGCATGGGTTCGGCATGTTTGATGCACAGGCACAAATCAAACAAGTACCTCCCCATACTTGTTTTCGTTGTTGGGATTTGAGTGTGGCTCAAACATATGGTTCCGAAATAAAATGGTAATTGAAAAGTAGCCCAAAATAGACATTGACCAAAGATGGCCGTTCGTTGCAGAGGCTCCCCCAGATATCCTGCGACTTCAGTCAGCATCTCTCCGCATCCCGCGTCTCACCTCTTGTGGCTTTAGGGCCAGCCCCTCTCATGGATGTGACGGGAGCTGCCTGACATGTGCGGACCATCTTCAACTCATCCGGATCTGGGAAATCCCCTGCAGAGCATCGGTGGGCAAGCCGAGCCATACTTCTTCGTGTCTTGGCCTGCTCAATCTGCAGTCACCTTTGGGTTGCATGCGTTGAGTATATTTTGTCATTGCCTGAACCAAGGCGGGATTTCCACATTCGGTTCCCGGGGTCCAGAAAGCGTCTCACCCTGGTTGCAGAAAGCGACCTAAAGCATCTCTGAAATGAGAGACACGCAGAATCGCAGGAATCGCCGAAGAAGAAAATCTGGCGAGTGTGTCAATTTCTTGTGCCCAGGACATACATGCCTCAGAGTTGCTGGAGCTCAAACGGGGCTGTTTCGTTTTTTTTCTCCTTCCAGAACGATGTCCAGCGTTGGAGCCAGTAGCTTGCTAAACGCCAAGGATCCAGGCTGAGAACAAGATTCTGGTACTGGATTCGCAAGAGGACTCGCTGACAGCCCCCCGGCCCTGCAACAGAAGCCATGTGGTGCCAGCTTTCTTACCAAGCAGCCCATGCAAATACTTCCGTTTACTCGAGACCATGCCCAAAGCACGCATGTATGTTATATATCTCTGAATAAGTTGAGTAGTATGTGCACCAATTCCTATGGTTGTCAAGGGCCGTAATAGGGCCCTCAATCCCGATAGGGGCAAATAGCGACTACCAGGGTCTATTCGGGGCTACTAGGGTTCCTTTTGGGACCATTTCCGCGGGTTTCTTCTTTGAGGCCCCTGACAACCGTAGGACCAATGCTTGCCATCAAACCCTGGGCACCGCATGTGAGTTGTTGAGCAAACGGGCTGAAGGACTAGCAAGTCGAGTCGGCCCGAGCTAAGCCGCTAAGGAGGATGACATCAATGTCTCTTGGCTTGATGCTGCAGGTGTTCACTCGCCAAGTGTTTGCTCCTTTTTTGCGGAAAGTCTTGTTCCTCAACTGGAAGCCCTAAGTTGCTGCGCCCCGGATATGTTGTTTTTGTTGGGCAGCGATTGATTGGGGATCTGGTCAATATCGTCAATTTCAAGGGCATCTGGCGATCAGGACCCAGGCTTTCGGGAAAGACTAGTCAAAGTTGTACGGTCGCAACCACAGTACCCAACATGGGCTCAAACCTTCCAACAATGGGATTCACGTCCCACTTGCTGGCTGCTCACGGGTGAAGACACGCTTTGCGCAGGTCGGTGACAACTTGGCTGTTCACAATCGACGGACCTTTAACAACACAAAAGTTCAAGCAGTTTTGTTTTTCTCGAGCGACGCCCAAGTTCAAGCAAGCAGGTGTTGTTCAATCGAAGCACATGTTCAAGCAGGTGTTTTTTCAAGCAAGCAAGTGTTTTTTTAAGCGACGCACAACTTCAAGCAGGTGTTTTTCCAGCAACGCGTAAGTTCAAGCAGGTGTATTTCAAGCGACACACAAGTTCAAGCAGGTGTTATTCAATTGACGCACAAGTTAAAGCAGGTGGTTTCAAGGTTAACACGTTTTTTGTTTTTACCTTTATAAGACTATCAACATGGTGCTGATTCCCACCCACGAGAAGGGGGAAATTCGCCGGCCTGACGATCAAAATCAAAAAAACAGTGCAGAGAACGAGGCGTGGCGCTTGGTTTCCAGCGGATCCTTCGGTTTGTTGAGTTTTTAGTTGTCTTTAGATGGTTTAGTGGGGGCGGGGGTTGCCATGTCGCCCACAAGTTACACTTTTTGGCAGGGGATCTGAGGACAGCCCAGGAGAGTCTGTTTATCCTGGGCGCCACTCTGTATCTTAGGTTGTTGTTCATGCCAGGCAAAGCCCAGGTTTGGGTTGGTGCCGGGGGCAAACTCAGGAGTTGGGCCAGTACGGCTGCCTGGCAAGCTTTCAACTGGCCCGAGCTGGCATTTCGGGGGTCCAAAAATTACGCAACAGTTCAACATGGAACCCAACACATCCACCATTTTTAGTGGAATCTCCTTTGGCAGGTTTCCATGTTAGTTTGGGGGGAAGTATTTCTCAGTTGTCCAAAGTGACCTTTTTGCTTTTTGGTTTTCGCTTTTGGACCATTTCTAGGTCCTTTGGCCAACCAGAAATCGGGGCAGCTTTGAGGATGTTGCTTTCATGGACCTGAGGTCCGATTTAGCCAGGTATCCTCTGGCTTCCATGCCAGCCGGGGAAGACTAATTTATGGCCATTTGTGTTGGATCTGTCCACTTTAACTTTTTGGGGAAACAATGGATTTTCCACTGGACCCACAAAAGTTGACTTTTAGTTTTTGCAGAGGGGTCAACAGCAACCAAGCGAAATGCAAAACACAAGAAAGGTATGGCAATGGTATTTCAGAGTCTCAAAGGTTCGTGGTCTAGAGAGTTGGTGCCATGTGTTTTTTCATGGTCTACATTGGAACTGCGAAAAGGGCAACTTGGCTCGTCTTCGGTGGGGCCCAATCGCAATGGCGTGACTTTCTTTTCTTTTGGTCAACTTGTAGATGTTGGCTTCCAAAAGGCAAGCCTTTTCTGAGGTGTTCAAAGCCGACCTTTTCACCTTCTGGTGTTTGCTTTTTGGTCCCTTTTTGAGGCATGGCCCCAAAAGAGTGGTCACCTTTTTCGCCATCACCCACCCTTCCCACCCTTCCCACCCTTCCCTTCCCACCCTTTCCACCCTTCCCGCTCTTCCCCCCACACGCACCCACGCACCCACGCACCCACGCACCCACGCACCCACGCACCCACCCACCCACCCACCCCACCCCACCCCACCCCACCCCACCCCACCCCCACCCAACCCAACCCCACCCCACCCCACCCCACCCCACCCCACCCCACCCCACCCCACCCCACCCCACCCCACCCCACCCACCAACCCACCCACCCTAGCGTGCGCCTGTGTGCGCGTGTGCGCGCGTGCGTGCATGCGTGCATGCGTGCGTGTTTGGGTATTTGCGTGTTTGCGCGCGTGCGCGCGCCGCATGGGGCACACACCCAAAGCCAATCATACGAAGACTGCATGCCCGGCATCCCCTCTGAGCCCCACAGAAACCCGTGTAAAAATGAGGAAAACACGGAATTTGCCGATGTTTTCCGCACAGTGGCGGCTCCGCTTTCGCATAAACCCCGCTCGCTGGATTGCAAAGATGTCCGCTATGTCCGGCTACCGCCAAAACCTACTCTCAGGGTGCCATTTTTTGAGGGTTGGCACGATGCAGGGGATGCAAGGGATGCTGAAAAGCTTAGATGCTGGTGAAGTTGGCGAGGATGTAGAGGATGTTGGCGGGGATGCTGGCGACAGTCAGGGGCGATTTGCACGGTATTCGCGGTTTTGTTTGAAGGTTGGGCGGCGTGGCGTCAGGAGCCCATCGAAAGGGCAGCAATGTCGGGGATGCTTTGGGATCCAAATGTCCTGTGTCCAGGTGATGCAGAGGGTGCTGCAAAGCGCGTCAGCAGTATACCCTACGGGTAGGGTTGCCCTCGCTCTTCGAGCTCCAAGACACACAGCTGCGCGCAGCTGGATGTCCGCGTCCTTTGGGCAACTTAGTTTTGTAGCCAGGCCCTTTAAAACAACTGAGAATGGGTGAGCTCGCGGGCTGAAATGGCCTCCCGAACAGACAGTTCCGTGGCATTTGCGTATGTTGCATAGCTTTCTGAGAAGGGAGGATCCCTGCAAAGAATGGTATGGATGGGAAGCTACCAAGGGCAAGTGGCTTTCGTCATTTGTCATTCGGTGCGTCGACCTAGGCAGCTGGATCATGGACGCTCGCCGCAAAGATGTGCACTTTCATGCGTTTTCTGAGCCTGCCGGTGCTGTTGGCTTCATAGAGTGTCCTGTTTATTTGTTGCTCAGGGCGCCCTTGGTTGTGCTTGGCTGAGCCATTCGAATGTGGGGGGAGAAAGAACCTCTTCCAGAACCCTGTTGGTAAACAAGAGCAAGAAGCTTAAAACAAAAGTTGTCTGCGTTGGCAAAAGCGAATCGACCTTTTGACCGTTTGGTCATCTTCATGTCATGGCCCCAAAACAGTTGTCCGTTAATCTATGTTTGGGTCCGTTGGGCAACTCAGCTGTATGGTATGGGAGCAGGTTACCTGGTGTTTTTAACGGGCACTCTCAAAGCTCCAGCCGCCCTGAATCACCTGCGTGCCTGTCTTGGTGTCGTCCACCAAAGGGTTCGATGTGAAATGGATTGATCCCCGTTCTTGGACCCTGCTGCCTTGTGCCTGGGGTTTTCGCGGTTACCGGGCATCTCCATGTTTCGCAGGACCCAAACTGCGCCTTGCTTTCTACCTGTCCTGCAGGTTCCTCAACGCCTCATCCCCCCGTTGGTAACTGGCAGCCAATTGACTGATCGAGAGAGTCGAGGTTAGAAGTTGCAGGAGAAAAGCTACAGAGAACTTCCCCCAATCCAACCACGAAGAACACACTGGTCGGACTTGGTGGTGTTGGCTGTCGTTTCCACGTTTCGACTTCAGGTGTTTGAGTTCTTTGGTTTTCTCAAACTCTAAAACCAAGCAACCGGGGGACCCCTATTTTGACCCCCCCCACACACCTCCTCCCCCATTTATGACACGTTCAGATACGTGTCACAGATCAGCCCCTGGTCCTCAAACGGAAACCACATGGAGAATACCATGCATAAAGAGGAATCTCGGGCACCGTGCTTTTCAAGGGTGCCCTCACAAGGTACCTTTCTTGTTTTTTGTTCAACCAACGTAGCAAGGCGCAGGTTATATACCCATGGTTATAACTGGGGTAACTGGGGCCCGCTAAGCGGTTATAGTTGAGTTCAGTGGCTTGAACACCCAAGTAGCAAGAGTAAACAGCCAGGTCTGTCCCGATGGTCCTATGCTTCAGAGTGAGTCCCTTCAGCACAGGTTTCGGACTCCGAGGACTAAAAGTTGTCATCTTGCTGGTATTCAGTAGGGAATGAGTTGGGTCATTCCCGAAGAAAACCATCCCATATGGTTTCCTTTAAGGGGATGTTTTTTTCCTACTGAGCACCAGCGAGCAATCAAAGCATTGGTTTCAACCGGCCGAATCCGAGACGCAGCCCCACTTCGGCGCTGGGGTCATGGCTTGGGAATTCTTCAACCGGGGCAAGAAGGTGCCTTTGATCCTGCGCCCTGGTTGGATGTCCGGCAGGGGTAAAGAGGGGTCGGCATTCTAACAGGCTTGAAGAAAGCCCATGGGGTTCGCTTGAAATGGACATGGTGAGGGGTTCTCCAATCTTTTCTTTCGGGTCCTGGAGTTCCCTCTGAATCGCCATTCTGAGGGTCATTTCGAGGATGCGCTTTAGTGAGCCCAGTTTCAACCAACCATTCTTCCAAGAAAAGCGAATTGACCCAACTAATGAAAGAGAACCCAGGAAAAGGGGGTGGGTAGGGGAGGGGGGTTTGACACCCACGACGCCGCAACCTCATTAATTTAACTCTCCTTCAAAGATACATGTTGGATCATTCCGGCCATATTGAAAACCATCTTCACCAGTTGTTTCAAAGGCTATGTAGGTGAGTGTTGCATGCAGCTTTTCAGGAACTCCGTCGCGCGCGCAAGGCGTGCAATCGAAGACGCACACCTTGGCCGCCGCGTTTTCAAGGATGCAGATGCCCCTCTTGCAGCAAAGTGCTCTGTTGCCCGGTGACGCCTTTTCCATTTTTTGGGTAAGAGTTCCCCTTTCAAGTCAACCAGTTCCCATGGCCTGGGCATTGGAGAGAGGGTGTTGGGTCAAAATAGCCAGGTGATTTCGCGGCCCGAAGCAAATCGAGGTGATGTGATCAGTTGTGGCTCCGGGCCCTGGCCACGAATGACGATTCTCGGGCCCCCTTCCGCAGCTTATGTTTTGGGGCGGGGTTTAATGTAACAGAGATAGAACACGTGATTTTCTAGGTAACTCAGACCGCATACTTGGGTGTGCAACACATTCTGTAAAAAGTAGAGAAGAGCACTGGTGAGCCATACCAAGCCCAGTTTTCAGCCTTTGCGACTTTGGTGGGTTGCATATCCAAGAAGTTGACTGTCCCTTGCAGGTTCCAACCCCGAAGATTCGAAGCCCAAGTGCCTGGCTTTGGCCTCAGCAATTGCTCGAGCCCCATGCGCACAAATCTTATTCGGGAGCGTTGGACAAGGCGCCGAAGGACTATCATGTGTAGCCTCCCAGGCCCCATTTGAACCCACTTGGGGTCACAAAAAATGCCGTACCAGCTGAGAAAGAAAGTTTGTTGAACAGACACTGGGTGGAACTCTTGCCGATGGGGAAACCCCATGGCCTTGTGCAAAAGTCATACCATGGTACCCCTCAAATCCTGATATTTAGACCTTATAGGTTGGTGCCCTAGGGGGCACGCAACTACGAATTTCCTTTAAAAGCTGAACCCTGGCTGGATTCGCTTGCTGGCTGGAATGCGAACTTACAAGTTGTTGAAACATGTTTCCCCGCATTTGGACCTGGAATCTCGGTGAATTACAGCCACGTCACAAGGAGATTTGGTTGGGCACCTCACCCATAGGTTCCTCTCTTTGGGGTCTCTTACTTCAGATTGAAGTACCCCCTTGCCATGCGCGAGGCTTTGGAGGATGGCATCGATGCGCTGCTGGAGGACGTGGATATCACCGCCCAGATCCGGGTGGCTCGCCGTCAGATGGTGAGGGTCACTTCCCATTCGAAGACAAGTAGACAGGGTTGGCTGCAAAGTGGGTGGACCATACCCGATGTTGCAAGTTTGGATGAGGCGTTGGCTCCATATTGCGCCGAGGGTCTTGCCCTGGTCTTTTCTCGGGGTGTTGATTTGGTTTCCCCGAGCTGAGGAGCTGAACAGAGCCGTGGTGCGTCCTGGCTTTGCATGGGATCTTGGGGCTGTGGGAACCGTTGGTTTCTGGTTGCAAAGCGGGAGGCCGAACCTGGACATGGGAAATGGTTGCCGGGTGTGTGGTCTGATGTGTTGTGTCCAGGGGAAGGAATTGTGGGAACGGTCTTGGCCCTTCGATGTTCATTGGAGCAGGGGTGTCTCGTAGCAAAAGATGGTGTGTTCGCGCTGCTTTCTTCACCATGTGAAAGCGGGAAAGGGGCCCTTCTGCCGGGGTGCCAATCGTGTTCCTGTAGGGTGTGCCTTTTACCAGGGTCCTTGCGGCCGTGGCCATAGGTTCAAGGACGAGCTCTTTCTGAAGTTCGAGGAAGTGCTCAAAAGCAGCCAGTTGGCGCGGGAGCGGGTGCAAGCAGCGATCAGCAAAGGCGCGAAAGGAAAAGAAGACTTCCCGCCATCGGAGGTTACCTTCATGTATTGGGTAGGACCCCAGAAAGGCCGGTGTCCTTGAAGCCAAGCTGAAAATTGTACCCTCGAAAGGTGCTTCTTTTGGTTTGCCCTTGAGGAAACAAATCCGATTTAGGGCATAAGGATATAAGGGGTGTCCACGGTTTTTTTCAATTCAGCTGAAAAAGGTATCCTCAAAACAAAAGACACCTGGATGGCACGCGCAATCCCATTGCCCGTTTCCCACCCGCTCTTGGCGCAGGCAGTGGGCGAAGAGCAGAGATCTCCAAGCACCAGCAAGCCAGCAGCTCCGGGGTAGATGCTTGGCTGGTAGGGACTGGGCTGGACCTTGTCAAACCCAACAATTGGTGCTTTCCGCAGGTTAAACGTGCGTGGTTGGAATCTTCTTCTAGGGCCCGCTATTGAAATTCCGCACATTCTACCCATGGTCAGCTTGCCGAAATCATGAAGGCCAATGGGTTGAATTTGAGGGGAACGTGGCCACCAGGCCCGCAAAATCCAGCCATTCGCCTGGGTTTCTGATGCCTGGACAGAATGGAGAAGGCTTGGGGGAATGCCAATTGGGGCAGCATCCAATACAGAAGTTCAGTCATGGTCAGGCTCCCACCGGGTCTGGCGCACAGGCCGCGTAAATCTGGTCCTTTGAAGCCGTCGCTGACCGCTAGGTGATTGAACACCCAGCCATCCCACAAGCATGTGCATGTGTTTTTTGGTTTTTCAAAGGCAAACCAACGGGAAACGCTCACCCAAAAGATGAACACGGAACTGAATCCTTTTTGACTCCCTGAAGGTTTCCATTTGGGTTGCAACCCACCCTCTTCAGCCGTTCCGGACGTTCCGGGCTATTCCGAGGTCCGGGTGTTTCGGCACTTCCCGGCCTGGAAGTGCAACGTGGTGATCGCTCAGTCCAAGTTCGAGGGCCGCATTGCCGCGACTCGAAGCCATGAGAAGGGGAGGCAATTCTGCGAGCGGCGAGTTGTGAATCCCAGAAAATCCATTGACCTGGTAAGGGCAGGTATAACCAAGGGAGGTTACCTGCTATAGTGGCTCGCTTGGGATCCACTGGGAATGTTAAATTGATTAAGGGTGGCAGGCCCCTTCTTAGTATGGAAATTATTCATCATTTTAGGAGTTCCCTTGACAGGGTCCTCCGGATGGCTCACCGAAGAAATTGGGTTGGGCCGGGAATGCTCTTGACAAAGCGGGGATTCAGGGGTCCATGTTGGAGAGAGGATGATTTCGCACAGTCATTTGGCAGCAGCGAAGCGCTTTTTAGCCACGTCCCCACCCCCCAAAAAGCACAAAAAAGGCCAGGCACGCACACACAGAAAAGAGACATCCCTTCACACTGTTCTTGGCATTTGTTCTTTGTTTCGTTCTGCTTATTTTAGTACCCAGAGGCTCCCGAGTGATTTAGGGCCTTCAAACAACCTGGTTTTCAAACCCCCAACCACCTCCGGGGTGTCTAAAGGAGGGGTCGGGTCTTCCATTGAAAGCCCCAGGAGCCTCTGGGTATGGGGCTGCAAGAGTCTTCACGGTTTTTGCTACCGCACCACACCGCGAAGATGTGGTTTTCGTGCTTTTCTGGTCGCCAAGCGGTTCTCTGAGGAGCGCTTGGCACAGGATCTGGCCCAGAGGTGTCCAGGCGCGAAGCTGCGGGGCTTTGGAGAGTAGGCTATTTCCCCCAGCTAGGTGCCCTTTCTCACCGGTTCTTTTTGGTTGGGAGCATTCCCCTACTAAAATAGACTACAGAAAAAAGTTGGTAATTAACTTATTCTAACCTCTCTGGAGGACCTAGGCTACGTCCAAGGGGTTAGCTCACTTCTCCAAAGCGAATCGACCTTTTCACCTTTTGGCGTTCTAGTTGTTGTTTTTTTTTGTTTTTTTGTCAAGCTTCCACAGGGTTAACCTAAGTTACTGGTGGGGGCTCCGCTCGATGCAAACTTGTATTTGTCTCACTCCCTGAGTTCATGGACTTTAAACGGTTTGGGAAACCATTCTAGCGGTAAGCACAAAGCTTCGACTTCCTCTGGCCCCACTTGATTGGAAGTGAGCCCAACTTTGTAGGTCGACCTGGGGGGTTTTCCGTGTATATATATATATATTATTGGTATTGTTATTTTTATGTTTATTTTTCTTTATTAAAACAAAACAAACTTAGGACGTTTGAACACCCAAGGCTCTGCTTCGCTGGGTGCCCTGATGCCTTGTTTGTTGCATGGCCATTTATCAGACATTTGGATGTTGCTCCAAGGGTTCGGGATTCGTTCCAAATTGGGATGGGAGGGCAGGTTTGGGAAAGTTCCGGTATGGGCTTGGGAGGTAAGCTCATGCACTTGGTGTGTACCGGTGGCAGGCGCACCTCCAAACCCGATGCCTACGGGCGCCCCCTCCTTTCCAATCTGCTAGGCCAGGATGGCCGATAGAAGAACTGAGAGGTCGATTCTTCCTTTGACGTCGGATAATAAAACAGGGGCCGGGTGCGTTTTTTGGTGCTTTCGTAGCATGCATAGATCTCGTCGGAGATTCCAAAGAAAGGTGATCTATGTCAAATTTGACACCCGGTCTTCGAAAAAGAAACCAAAACTGGTTGATTTTCAATCAAGAGCGACAGATTCAGCTTCAAGCAGTGCGTAGATGCCGCTCCTCAAGCCCTTCTGCGCAGTGGGCTTTCCCTATCTTGGGTGCCCCTTGGCCAATCCTCCAAAACGGATTCTGAAAGCCTGATGTTGACCACATATGAAGAACCCCCAGTTTATTCAAAGGGGAGTTGGGGGCCCCTCCAGAAGTGTTCTGATTCCCCACTCGCAGGAGGACCCCTGGGGTTGACTAATATGAGGTGAATAGTGTGGGGCGTTTGTTCCAGGAAACCTGGGGGGGTGTATCCTACATAGCTGATGAGTGGGTGAATAGTGGCCTTTGTTCCAGGAAACCTGGGCGGGGTATACGTGAGTTTCCCCTGAGGCTCGGAGGAGCGGTGCCTGGGCATCGTCATGGACCTCTCCCAGACCGGGGTCCGCGTCACTCTGCGGAGCCTCGACGGAGGCCAGCCGAGACGCCGAGACGCCGAGCCGAGCCGAGAAAATCTCCGCGGGAGATGGGCTGCAACCAACCCCATGACAAAATGGAAGCATGAGCCCCAAAGGGGTCCTGGACCTCCAAAAGGAGACCTTGGGGACCATGAACTAAATGAGACCCAACTCCAATACTGAAATTCCGGGCAAGCAAGAGGGAGCCAACAGAATGCGAAGCAGCTCCCACTTATGATTGCCTTGTTGCGCGGGTCGTGTAACCCGCTTCACCCTGTTCAGCTCACTCTTTCCTCTGAATGGGGCACCCGGTTCTTCAGTGGCTCGAACTGCTTCCATAGGCATCATATTTGGTTGTTTTGGTAGAAAAATAGATGGCCCTGGTTTATCTGGTGGCTCAATCACCTACTGTACGTGTGGGTCCCCTTTCGTGGCAAACTGGGTGCCCCAAGGGTCACGGTTGGCAGGCCCGCCGGTGGCTCAGATCGCGCGGCACTTTGGCGGCCCCTTGGCTTGGCCGCAGGCTGCCGAGCTGCTGGCGAGCTGTCTCAAAATGGGGAGACGCCAAACACAAATTTGCTTCAGGTTATTTTTGGTGGGTTCTGCCCATTTTTAGTAGGGGGCTGCAAGAAGGAAAAAGCTTTTTGCTACCATACCAAGGGTTGCGAGGTTTGTGGTGGTTCCCTGCAGTTGCCTTTGAAACAGAGAGCTTACCTTCCAAAACACGACCCCCAGCGCTGAGAAAGTGGGGGGGATTGCTCGAGCCCAGAATTAAGTTTGTGGGACCCTTTTGCAATCGAAAGGACATAGAGTTGGAGGGATTTGGGCGCATGGGCGCATGGGCGCATGGCACCTTCCAGCTGGTGTGTCAGGGCCTAGCTCAACCGGAGCATCATTGCTGCGCAGCCTACCAATGGCTCTCAGGGAGATTCCTCCAGGGACGGCATGTTCTCACTTCCTGGGTCCCTGGACCTTAGTCACTTTTGGGGTCTGGACCATTTTGGTGGCAAATGAAAAGTTTGGACGCTTTTGTTGGACAACAGCCTGAGGAAGTGAGTTTTGAAGCTTCGTGTTGAGGCTGTGGATCCGCCATGCGGGCCTTCTTTAAGAAGAGCAGCGGCAGTATCGAGAGCGGCTGGGCTCAAAATGGTCACGGTACTCACAGTTGTTCAGTGGCATCCTTTGTATCCCTTCTTGGTTTTTGGGGTCCCTTTCTAAAAATGAGTTTTTCGGCGGGGGGGGGGGGGGGTTCGCTTCTAAAAATGGTCTACCCCGAAAAAGTCCTTGTTCCACCGGGGTCACTGGGCAACTGGGGTGCTGCTTGCTTCGGATAGCTTCGGAGCTCACCAGAGGGGCACACGAAATGGCTCCAAGACACCCTCACTTAGCTGTTTTCCTGCAGAACTTCCCGTATCCCAACCCCTTGACTCACCATTCGGAGGTTTGTGGGGGCCACGACAACCTGAGGCATGTTTGAGCAGCCAGAGGTGATGCTGCCCCGTGGCGGAAGCTGCCGAAGTTGTGGTTGATGATTCGGGGTTTATCCAACCACTTGTGTTAGTCTTTAAGGGGTTAGGCATGGTTAGGCCCTTTTTGTTGTATCACACAAGTGGTCATGTCCCACAAACTTGAGGTTGATTGAAAGGGGATGGCCATTGGTTGGAAAACCACTAAAAGATGATATTTCAACCATTGAATGAATTGAAACAGTTACCGATGGAAATTTGGGAGCCAAGAATATTGTTCAACCCCCACATCTTTGTTTCCATGCCCGGGTTGGACACATGCGTTTGCCTGTGTATGCACCTGCGCGTGTATTTGCCTGTCTCCGGATTTTTGTCTGAATCACCCCCCAAATGTGGCACGCCCGCTATACCGGCAACCCAGGCCAGCATTGCCACCACCTCTCAGTTGGTTCACGCCTGGATGAATCTCCAACTTACACTTGCCAGACTTCCTTTTGCCCTCTTGGATTTGTTTGGTTTAGCTGTTGATTAGCTGTTGACTTTGTGCAGGTATAAAGGCCAACTCTCCAGCATTTGGAGCAGCTGCACCGGCAACCCAAATAGCAACGCGCGCAAGTTATGCGCTGGCACCTGTGAGAGCACAAGCACCTGCACTTGGAACAACCGGACTGTGACCCATCACTTTCCGGCACTGCATCCCTTTAGGCTCGCACGGGAGCTTTCTCTCAAATGATGCTCTTTGGAGCGTAATCATTAGCCCCTGCGCCTGCACTTGCGCCACCATGGGCCGGCAGTGCTCAGAACATGTGCATTTCACCGTCACCGGCTGTCACATGCACCGGCGCGAACCACACATCAACCCACCCGCTGCTGACATTTTGAAACAGCACCACAAGCAGAAAACGGCACTCTTTGAAATTTGTTGCCGAAGAACGTGCCACCTTGCATTTCGACCTGCGCTACCTGCACCTTGACACCGCGCGCTATCAACGTTTGAAACCCACTCATCAAAGCCCCCCCGCCACCAAGCAAATCTGCACCCAACTTGCAAAGGAAAATCATATGGTGGCATCGGAAATGAAGCCACTTGAAAGGAACGCTTCTTTTTAGGGTCAGCACGTGTTTTCCTCACACATCTTTGGTTGACCTCGGCTTGTTTGTGGCTTGACTCCCGCCCTTGGTGAGCAGGCTTGGCAAGTTGGTGCCTAGCCCATTGGGAGGGCGTTTGCTATCAAATCAAAACACACCGGACAGGCTTGAGTTGGTTTTCGAGGAGGTTGGTGAAGCAGCAGCTTTCGGAGTTGGCGGGTCTCTTGGTCTTCATCTTGAGCAGTTGTAATCTTGTCATAGGGTAACACATCTGCTTCGCTTTGTTGTCAAAGCGAGCTCACTTTGGGCAAAGTGAGCTCACCATGATCCTTTTACTTGGGGATCCTTATTCAGGTGCTGAGTGGTTTGCTCAGATTCGTCCGACTGAGGCGCGACGTGGCATGTCTGCACTATGGACTGGGAGTCACTTTGCCAAACATCCATGCCCAGAAACAACGGTTTAACCTTCTGCCGAAGGGAACCCCAATGGATCCCCTTATCAAGGCCGTACTGTCCGATCAGAGGGTGCGGGCGTGGGTTTCCACGATTTGACCGGCGCTGATTGGTGTTGAGTTGGATCCAAGCCGCTGGACCATTCCAAACTAACCCCGGATACAGAGGCGAGCCCTTAGCGGGCGTCTTTGTCACCTTAGGGCGTCCAAGGGCGGAGCACCTAAATGGTCCCATTTTGGTGTTCCACTGTTGGGGAGAACACGCACTATGTGGGGGTTGGTGAACTTTCCGTTCGGCCCCCAACTGATGGGCAACTTTTCACATTTAGTGGTTGACAACACTCTCTTTTGGTTTTCCAACCAACAGTCATCCCATACAGGACCTTTTGATCAACCCCTATGTATCTGGAAGGTGTTCATCCTTAGCCGGCGTGTTTGGTTGCACAGGTAGTTTTTTCCTAAAGCGCCCTTGCCAAACAATTACAATGATTACGTGATCTTGGGTACAGGGCACCCCTTGCAACAGGCGTCTTGCCACAAAATAAGGCAGTCGAAGTACGGACCACTTGTTCTATTTTGGTGTTCCTTTAAAACCACCCAACAAATGGTGCCCCCTGTCCAGAGGGCTTGTCACTAGCTGGATTCTCGCTTTCCCCGGTTCAATTGACTCTTTGTTTTGGGAAGGCAAACAAAAACTGGTATACGCAAACTGGCACGCAAAAAGTCAATTGACTTCTCTTAGGCAATCCCTGACTTGTAAGAACAAACTGTTGACTACACCATCTAAACTTATTTGCGCCTGCCTTTTCTCGAGTTGTTCTTTTGCAGGGAAGCCAAAAAGGGAACCACGGGCCGCGCCGTGAAAAACCGCGGCCCCCCAAAAACTCCCGCGAAGAGTCGCAGCCCGGCGCTGCCCGGCGCTGCCCGGCGCTTCAGACGCTTCGGACTTCAGGTGAAGGCGCTCTCGTGCGTCTGCCTGTCGCTGAGCGCGGGGGACCTGGTGACGGTGATGCGGCGCGGGGAGCACCACAAGGAGAGCCCCATGGACGACTGGCCGGGGCCCCCGGGCCCCGACGGCCAAGAAGATATGAGGGTTTTACACGTGTTTTCGCGGTGTAAAAACCCGGTTGGGTTTTTTGAAGGGATAGTCGAAATATGTAATACACAGACTCCGCCCTTCGCAAAATCCGTACTTGAATATTTCGTGGAATGGCGGTGAATGTCATGTTTAGCCCGATGATTGGAGTTTAGTCCAACGCCGGTCCCCAGATGTTGCATGTTCCATCTTCAGCTATTTCAAGCATCACTTGGCCGTTCTGCGGTGACTTTGCTTTGGCCTGCAAGGGGAGCTGCAGGGCACGTGGAAACGTTCGAGCCGAACACTGAGAGGCAACAAGAGGGGCAGGACTCTCGCGGATGACGCGATAGTCGCGCAACCCTCATGCTAGCGCAAGCATGTTTTGAAAGACCCTCGCCCGTGCCTTTTCCCCTTTGTGGCTCCACGTGTTAGTTGCTCCAGTCTTTCATGGAACGCCATTCCAACATCATCTTACGGGCGAGCATCGCTTGACCACCTTGGAAAAAGAAGCGTTTGACAGGCCCCCCCAATGCCAATGGCCAGCAGGGCGGCAGGTTCTTTGGGCATGGCAGGTTCTTTCCCAGCTGCAGCCATGCTAGAGTCCGGGCTTGGGCATGGGGGACCCCCCAACCTCAACTCACTCCCTAGAGTCCATTCATACTTTCGGAGAAAAAACAACAAGAAGTCTGGTTGTAAGCCCCCCCCCACCCCTTCCAATCGAGGCGGTCTCCCATCCACTCGCTTGTGAGCGCTTGAGGTCCTGGGGCTTCAAAGTGCATGAGCCCCACAAGGACAGGCTTGCTTGGCAGTCAACACGGGCGTGTCTTTCTTCGAGGGGACCGTTTTTCGTTGTGTGGTCTCAAATGGAAGTCGCCCAAAAACAACAACAACAACAACAACAACAACAACAACAACAACAACAACAACAACAACAACAACAACAACAACAACAACAACAACAACAACAACAACAACAACAACAACAACAACAACAACAACAACAACGACAAACAACGACAAACAACGACAACGACAACGACAACGACAACAACAACAACAACAACAACAACAACAACAACAACAACAACAACAACAACAACAACAACAACAACAACAACAACAACAACAACAACAACAACAACAACAACAACAACAACAACAACAACAACAACAACAACAACAACAACAACAACAACAACAACAACAACAACAACAACAACAACAACAACAACAACAACAACAACAACAACAACAACAACAACAACAACAACAACAACAACAACAACAACAACAACAACAACAACAACAACAACAACAACAACAACAACAACAACAACAACAACAACAACAACAACAACAACAACAACAACAACAACAACAACAACAACAACAACAACAACAACAACAACAACAACAACAACAACAACAACAACAACAACAACAACAGCAACAGCAACAGCAACAGCAACAGCAACAGCAACAGCAACAGCAACAGCAACAGCAACAGCAACAGCAACAGCAACAGCAACAGCAACAGCAACAGCAACAGCAACAGCAACAGCAACAGCAACAGCAACAGCAACAGCAACAGCAACAGCAACAGCAACAGCAACAGCAACAGCAACAGCAACAGCAACAGCAACAGCAACAGCAACAGCAGCAACAACAACAACAACAACAACAACAACAACAACAACAACAACAACAGCAACAACTTGCAAAACGAATAACACCCATCTGATATGCATATGGTTTGCTCTGTTCTACGTTAGAAAAAGGTGATTGCAGGGGGTGCACTCGCAACATACCATTTAGTGGGGTTACTCCACAATTTGTTTGCTGCTTTGGGGTGCCCCGGTCTTTCGCACCGAAACAAAAGCCAAGCAGTCGCCCCGCCCACCATCGCCCACCTTCCAAGGCTTAGCTGGATTTGAAGGTCAGCTTGCTTGAGTTCCTGATTTGTTTTGCCGACTTGCTGGTTCTCGGCCTTAAGGGGAATGTCCTTCTCCTCCCCCTCCCCCTCTCTTTTGCATGCCTGCAACCTGTACCGGGCCCTTTCCGGATGGAAAATCATGTTCGTATCAGGTCGGGAGGGTCTCATTGAGCTTGGCCAGCCCACGCCAGGTCTTTGGAAGTGCTTGTTGCTTCGCAAGGGCTCCAGTAATAGCAAGCTGGCCTAGCCATACATCGACCAGCGAAGCTTCTTTCTCTTCCATTTGCTGAAATGAACATGTTTGATTTTCCCCTGTTCATGTTTCAGGGAACCTATCATTACTGGAAATATTTGTTTTTGTTCCAGGGGCGAAACTGCAAATGGAAGTTCTCTTTGGAGTTCCTATGTTTTTCAAAACAATGGTTGGCGAAGATGTCCGGCTTTTGCGTGCGTGCGGCACTGGACCCGTTGCGATCAAAGCTTTAAGCCGTGGCAAGCACGACTTCCATGCCTGTGTGTCTGTGTGTATCGTTTTGGTATACCGGTTTTGGGTTGAAGAGACCACCCGTGTTTCTTAGGTTACCCCATTTCGACATACCCCTTGTCAAAGTGCTGATACTTCAACAGGGTCCCCATGGTGTTCTTATTCTGGGCTGTAGGTGACTTTCCTCGGTAAGGGTGATGTCTAGACCAGTTTAAAGTGGTAATTTTAATCACAAACAGTTTAGACATTGTCTGGCGTCACCTGATGGGAGGTGAGCCCAACTTAGTAAGTTGCCTTTCACCATAGGTTTCCTGGGGTAACTGGGGCTTGCTTGGGTTGTAAACACTACCCAAGCTGGAATCATACTGCGAGTGGACGAAACTCTTGCCCTGGAATGATTTCCCTCTAAATACCAACGGACGCTATGGTTTCCCATGGTGCCCCAAAGTGGTGCGAACTGCTTTTGTCCATCCACTGTAGGGAATTCTTTTGATAAAGAATTGAAACAGGTAGTAAGCATATTTGTGTTTGTTGGGTGATGATGGATATGGATATACATGGAGATGCAGCTTCCCTCTGCCTTTCTGCCGTGTTTCACGTTTTCGCGCGCTCAGGAGGGCTGGCTGCCTACCCTCTCCTACTCGGTCTATGTGGCGATCTTCGACAAGCCCAGCCCCGGACAAGGCTCTTCGGACCCACCCAAAATTTACTCATGTTTTGCCGTTTGTGTTCAAAAACATAAACGGGTAGTAAACAAACATAAGTAAATAAGTGAAAAAATAACAAATAACTAAATCAACAAAGCAACCAAACCCCAATGAAGTATTCGATCCAATTTGGCGACTTGTATGCAGATTCCGACACCCCAAAAAGAAGGTGCTAGAAGAGTGGTAATGTCAGCGGATTGATCAACCTGGCAGATAAAATGGGGGCATGTTCCCCCCCAAAAAGGACAGGCTTCCTTTTTCCACTGCGCAACAGATTCATCGACCAGGTTTCTTCATTGAAAGATTGCAGCAGCACTGGTGGAATTCAGGGGTGTTGCAATCACACCCGATTTGATTGATTTCCTTTTCAGCACAGTTGCCAAAAGGATCCAAAAGCATGGTTATTTCACCACCTTGACGGTTTCAGCATGTTTCAACTGGGTTTGAGGGTACAGCATATGATGTACTTTGTGGTGCCCATGATGGTAGGTTGCTAAGAGCCTGAACATGACGACCAAACCGCAAGGGTTCCTTGTTGTTTCCTTTTCCAGGGGCCAAAGATAGACGTTATGTTTTCGGAGCGCGGCGTTCAGCTAGCTGCGCCATTCAGATGGCGAGGCGTGGAAGAAGTCAAGGAGGGGGACCTTGTGGTGGCCAAAGTGCAGCGGGGGAGCTATGCCTATGGCAGCCGCCTCCCGTGCCGCAGATGCGAGTTCAGCGACGAGAGAGGCTCCCAGGGCTCCGATTGTTCGACTTAACCCCGGAGGTGTCCGTTTTCGTGACGTCAACCAGGCCTGAAGTCTACCTTGCAGGTAGACAAAAGATAGGAACCCTGAGCCAAGTGGTTTTTTTTTTTGGGGGGGGGGAGGGTCCCTGTTGCTTTTGGAGTTCCACATGGAACCCGCCCATTTTGAACCCCCCTAAAGGTGAGATTAGCCCGTTTTGGAATTTATTTATAGCCAGCACCTGGAGCTCGCTGGAAAGTCTTTGCCGGAGAGGGAGGCTGCTGGGATACCACGGGTCCCAAAATTGTCAGCCCAAGCGCTTGCGGGGGGGCAGGGAAAAATCAAAGGACGCCACAACGCTGTCAAGTGCCGCTACTGCTCCTGATTGAATCTTTGGCAACGAAGAGCACAAGTCTGGTAAAGAAAGGGAGGCAGAATCAGTCACTTCCACCTGCACTTGGCCTTTTTCACTCACCTTGGCTCCACAAAACTGAGAATCACGGCGAGGTGGGCCCCGGTGGGCCCCGGATCCAGTCGCCGAGGCGTGGGCCAATCGAAGCGCTGGAGAAGTCTTGGCCGCAGCCTCGATTCGAGAGACGCTGACCTCTTTGCTTTGGCCGGCCCCTTTCCACCAGTAAAAAGAGTCGGCTTTTTGGGGCCCAAAGTTTGGCAGGCGTGTCTTGAGAACGGAATTCCGGAATTCGGGAATGACGTTCTTCCTTTGGTTCAGTTTAGATTTTTTGAGGTAGCATATTTTTTGGCCAGGATCGGCATGCGTCCTGAGTGTTTTGAAAGGTATGTCTCGTAAACCTTGTGGAATCGATTCTGCAGAAATGATGTTGTGGTACTCGTACTTAAGGATCGCGAGGCCAGTTATTCCGCATCCAAATTCGTGCGGGCGGTTTCCAAGTCTGCAAGAAATCTGGTTGGTACGCGTCCCAGGATTTTTGTTTGCAACTGGAGTACTCGCTTTTTGGGGTCCCATCTTCTCCCTCCATTCGAACGGGGGGAAGGGGGTGAAAGTATGATGTCATGCTGGAGATCGAGGTTTCCATTCGACGAGGACCTATTCAAGCGAGTGCATCCCAGCAGCGTGGCTGCCATTCTGGAGGAGGCAGGCTTCTTTACGAGGCGCGGATTGGAGCAGGGATGGTTTCACGCCTAGGGCCCGGCCCCCCCCCCCACCACAAGTTCACCCCCCGCCCCCCCCCTCCTGGGGGAAAACTAACAAAGATCACAACTCGAGCTGGGGTCAGTACTTTGACTGTTTCTGGGGTTATCAAAGTCAGAAACTGGAATTGGTGGTTTTCGTTTACCACTTGGGTGACTTTGATACTAGCAGAATGGGGCCAGACTTTGAGTCATTTCAGTCCAAGGGTTGGGCGGACCACAGGCTTCGGCCCGCTCGATGGCAGGAAAGACATCTTCGCCTGAGATGGCCCTTGCGCAGAGGAAAATGCAAATATCCTTGCGCATCGTTCGGGGCCCTGAGCCCATGCGCCACAATGGATGTCGGCAGGAACGAATTGCACGGCATCCCTTTTGGGGCGGGTGTTTCAGCACTCCATCAATCATATGTTTTCCTATAAGCACTGACAATGCAGGAAGGTTGCTTGCAAGAGGAGTCTTCGCTGGACATGGTGTGTGTTGGCAATTGTTCCACATTTGCAGGCCCCTTGCGCGCTTTGGTTCGTTTGCAGCTGTCCATGTGGTTGGCGGCATCTGAGTTGAGCACGTGATAAATGTACGGGGGATGGACGAAATCCTGCACCACTTTGAAACCATAGGAAACCATTGGATTTCGTCCATCCACAGTATTGCAGATGATCCTTTGCAAGCTTCTCTCCTTGCTGGCTTCCGAATGCTCCATGCAGGCTGCAGGCGTCTTATGGCCTTCTTTTGCTGCGATACATGGGAGACTGCAGTCGAAGCTTCTATGCTTGATTGCCTGAGGTGAATACCTATAGGGTTTCTAGCTCGCCTTTTCCATGTGTCACGGAACCTTTTTTCCAGTAAACACGGCTCAACAACGCTGGAAAATAGGTGACTCTGAGAAGCACAATGGACGAAGATACGACGGATAAATAGCGCACACACACACACACCTACAACTACAACCGCAGCAACAAGAAGACATAATCGTTTAACAAGCCTCGGACCTGACTGAGCATGTCGCCTGCTCCGCATTTAACCGCCATCGTTGTTTCAACCGC